CTTCTCAGCAGCTGCTTTCAAAAGTCATTTAATATACTCAATATTATTAGCAGCATTCTCATTATATGACTCTGTCTTTAGAGAATGTTAGTTTTTATAATAATAGAGACATTAAAAGTGATAAACTTACTGAGAATAGTAATATTTCTTCACTAAGAGTATTATTATCTGAATCACTGTCAGTAAAATCTTCATTTACAGTTTCTGAGAAAGAGAGACTCTGATATTAAAATTTCAATTAATTATCTCTGAATTCTTGTCTAGAGATAGATAGCAGATAGTGTTTCAGATTTTAATTAAACAGACATGATATTTTATTTTCTGATATAATTTATAGATAAAAGATGTGTAGTTGAAAAGATATGAATAAAGTGAATGAGCAGTCTTGATAAAATAAAGAGATGAGATTGAATTACTGAAAAGAGATATATTAATAAGAGCTGCAATCAGTGGCAATCTACATTAATTTAATATTAAGAATCAAACTACTATATTTCTACAATTTGCTGAAATTCATACTACAAATTTATCAGAGTTCTATTAAGATTCTGAAAATGAATATTATTATGAATTCTGTGCTACTAGATCTCTCTGAACTCTCTTATCTGATAGATTTAATGAGATAAGTCACTGATTTCAAAAGAAATCTGATATTGATATATCTGAATATAGAATGAATATAATAGCAGTAATAATGAATAGTAGCTAGATGAGAAGAAGTTAAACTCATCACTAGACTAACTGTGTGACCGTGTCTGAGATCAGAATCAAACTTTACAGTTATCATATTGTCTAAAAGTATTACTTCTGATCATAATTTGTATTCATTACATTGATCTCAAATCACATTATTTCAAATATTAAAGGTCTCATATTCACTTTTTATATAAAAATCTAGTCTCAGATAAAGAATATATTTGAATTCTTAGTCACATTTTTATTCCAATATCATTATTGAGAATGATATTAAATGAGATTATGAAATCATTACTCACTTACATAATATCATAACATAGTACTCATTTGTTGAAAATTCAACAGAGAGTATTATCAAATATCATTACTTTTCTAAACACAGATTATAATTCATATAATTTTAATTATAAAAAAAATATAAAATAAAAAAAAAAACAAAAAAACAAAAAACAAAATAAAAAGAAGAAAAAATCACAATGAAAAAAAAGAGAAAGAGAAAGAAAAAAAAAAATAAAAGAAAAAGAAAAAAATAAAAAATAAAAATAAAAAAAATCAAGATCATAGAGCTGCAGTACTTTTAAAATACTTACTTCATAGAGTCTTTATAATGTTTATTATTAACTGTGTATCTCTCATAGTAAGAGTAACATGACTGTGATGAGCTATTATCTTAATATTATCTAATAAATAATCAGTATATATCTGTATAAATGTGAATAATTAGAAAATATACACTTAAAAAGTGTGATCAGAATGAACTCTGCTGTCACTTGAATAATATCAAGAGTAAAATGCTGAAATTAATGATTTCTCTCATTGATTTCACAGATAACATATGTGAAGATAATCTTAAGAAATATAAGATTCTCTGACTTCTGATAAAAACAGATCTTATGAAGAGACTCTATTTTCAAAATATTAGAGACTGAGTGTTATCAAAAAGTGTTACTTTCATACAATGTATATACACTTACTACAGTGATTCACTCTCTGTATATATAACTGAGAGTTGCAGCTTTTTCACACTGCATGACTCTCTCTGAGATACTGCTGCTGATTTGTAATTCACACAGTCTCTCAGTTCAGCATGTGCTACATGTATTCAATTCTGTGTGCTGAGACTGTGTTGATCATTATGATCTAATGTGATACTCACTTTTCACAGGCCATGTTTTGTTTGATTGAGAGAAGGGAAAGAGAGGACACAACTACTGTTTTATTTAAAGAGAGAGTGAATAATTGAATCTATAAAAGATAATTTGATTTCTTCTATATTTGAAATTTGATTAGTCTATACTCTTCAATTTAAGAGTTTCTGAGAGTGTTTTAATAGTTTTCATACCAGCTTGAAATTAGTGATTGATTGAAGAAGAGAAAAGAGAGAAGAAAGAAATGAGAATAACTTATCTTTGTAATATGAAAACAGAGAATTGCTGTAATTATTCACTCTAGTAACAAAGATCTGTTTTCTGCATGTATCTCTGATACAGATTATATAATAACTGTATACAAAGAATATCAACAGTGTATGTATTGAATGAAGATGATGTTGTCATGCAACACTGTAGCTGTTTCTATACATCTCTGAAAGCTGTTAATATTTTCTTTAAGTCTCTCTATATTTGATAAGTCAGTAATATATTTCAATACACTCTTTCTTTCATCATTATTATTATTATCATCATCATCATTTTCATCATCATCATTATCATTATTATATTATTTCTCTTCAAATACTCTGCAGTTCTGTGAACTACTAAGGCACATGAGCACTGTCACAGATTGAAGAGAGAGAAGAAGAAGATATTCAAGTGAGAGAAGACAGATTGTAAGACATATTATAATATCTTGAAGAGACTCTGTAAGAGAGTAGACTAATAATGATTTTAAGTAACACTTCTAATAGATTTAGACTGAACTAAGTATAGAAATAATATAAATGACACTGTCTGTGAGAGATTGAAAAAGAAGATAGTGAAGAGTCTTATACAGTAGTAGTGAGATCAGAAGAAGTTCTGAGAATGATTTAAGATCAAGATAAAGAGAGAAAGAGAGAAGAAGAGTGTTACTGAAAATACATAACAGCAGAAGAAGATTGAGAGAGTATTAAAACAGAAGATAAAAAAGTCAAAACTGATAAGTTTTTTATTTATTAAGAGATAATAATTTTTGATAATACTTCTGTTCTCTAATTAATTAGCAGAAGCTGGCAGAGAAGAAGAGAATTGAGGTTTTATTCAGGTCTTAAATGCACTTCATGATTCAGAACATTGAGAAGACAGCTCTGCTCTCTGAGCCTGTCAATCTGCTTACTGCTGAGATAAAACCTGAGATAGCAGATCAGAAAATGCAGGATTTTGAGATGCAGAGTGAACTGACTGAAGAGAAGCAGTGAAAATCCTTCTCTGAGAAGACAGTGAAGAGAGATTTTGAGATGATTGTCATCTCAGATGAGAAGAAGAAGAAGAAGAATAAGAATAAGAAATGAATTATAAAGAATAATAAGAAGAATAAGAAAGAGAAGAAAGATAATAAATAGAAAAAGTTTTTTTCTTATTATATTAATTAGTTATAAGTTCATAATTATTAATAATTGAAATTAATTTTGAGTTTTTAAAAATTATTGTACAAGTTGTAATGAATGTCAGAAATAATATATATATATATATTTAATAATCATGATTCATAAATCACTATAATGTATAAGTATCAATATTTTTTCAATATTGATATTTATAATATTAATATATTTTTAATGATATTATCTAATAATGTAATTTAATAACACTCTCTTTTACAATATTAATATATTTCAAGAAATATAACAGAGATTAATCAAGATTATTTATTTACTTTTATACATTGATAATATTCAATCTGAGTTAGTACTAAAATTATAACTAAGCTAAGAAAGAAGATTATTTTCTCTTATAATAATTCTTCTTACATATATCAGTGATCAGTTATTATCTTTATTAAAAATAAATTATTATCTTTCTCAAATTTTTATCATATCTTCTGAAATCACTTCTTTCACTTTATTCACTTTTATTGAAGATTCACAAACTCTTCAAGAAATTACTGTGAATCACAAAGTCTATGTTATTTATATTTCAACACAGAATACTCTCTTTCAATTATAATGAATCATTGCTTCATTCTTCAGATCTGATTTCAGGCCATGAAATTTATGAAAAACTCAACACAAACATTGAGATGAACTATGAAATAATTATCAACAGATTATATTGTAGATTACTGAAGAGTTATCTCTCTGCTATAATCACTGCAACTTTATTCAGAATCATTCATTATGAACTAATTATCAGATCACATGATCTGGCATACTAATCCTTCCATTATATAACTTTTCACAAGCTAGCAACCTTTCAATCACTCAAGCTTTACATCTTTCACAGGTTATGAGACCTGTTTTGTGCAAAAATCACTGTCAATTCAGGATTTCTTGTCAATAATCATTATTTTAACTACTGCTTCATTCAATACACTCATCAGAAGTTAAAATCATCTTATTCTATCAGTATTGAGATCTTGTTGATCAATAATACTACTGCTCACTTAAAAAAAGAGACTTGCAGAAAAACACACTACATTACAAAAAAAAAAAAAGAATGAAAAAGAGAACAATATTGACAAGAATCTATTAAAATGAATATCAAGATAGTGAATTCAATATGATCTGACTCACATACACATTTGCAATCTTGTGTTCTTTTCACTGAGTCAGTTGCAGTTGATGATGATGATTCTTCACACTCACACTCTGTCAGTGAACATTCTCCTGGAGCTTTTAAAAGCTTCATTGATGAACACTCTGAAACACTTTCTTGATTCGAAGCTGGTTTGAATACAGCTTCTGACACAGTCAGGCCGGCCCCCCGATCTACTTGACAGCTTGATGCTGGTTCTCTTGACAAGAATAATGAACACTCAGATGTCTACTGTTCAAATGAGGCAATATCAGACTAACAGATGAAACATCTCAAGATGACATTTAAGATGAAGAAGAAGAAGTGAAGAGTTCTAAAACTTGAATTACAACTGAAAAAACTCTGTCAAGAGAGATTCTCAATCTTCACAGATCAATCATAGAATGTCAACAATCATTCTATCACTATCTCAACAGTCTGTACAGTCACATGGGATTCTAATCTCAGTGAAAGGATGGAATTCAATCTTTATAAACTGAATAGCTGTGTTGACAAGGCAATCTCTCAATTCAAGGAAGATATCAAGAATACTGTGAGATCAAACAGTCTAACTGATACATTCAATTACATCACATGAAGCATCTTCATGAAATGAAAACTGGTTGATGCACAGTGTTGATATATGATAGAGAAATGACAGACTCAGAACCCTCTACAAAGAGATGATAAATGAGCATCATTCTGAGATGCCAGAAACTGATGACTCTACACATTCATCTCAAACTCCTTGGGTGCAGGTGTCAAACCACATTTCTTCAAATATGATAAAAATCGGATCACTTATACCCTCTGGAATGCGATTGAACAGGAATACTCTGTCTCAAAAACACAGTTACACTGTGAGGCAGTTCTGAAATTCATGTCACTTGGTGACACACAGGTCACCAATCTACACACATTCTTTGATAAGTTCTGGTCCGTCATCATGAAGTTGGAGATGTTGAATGCTTCCCCACCAGATGCATGGATATTTGATACTTTTTATTCAGTCCTACCCAACAATTGGAGGGATTATGTTCAGAAGAAGATAGAGGAGATACAGGATTCCAAATCCACAGCTGTGGTATTGGATGTTGATCTTCTCATGGAGGAGATCCGCTCGCGGCTTGATCCTTCAAAAGATAAAAAGAATCTACAGAATACAGATTCTGCGGCCAACACTGCTACAACAGCTATGACAGCTACAACGCACAACTCAAAGGTCCTACCCAATGCAGCCTGTAAATCGGCTGCGGTGATTCCTTCGGCAACACCAGGCCTACCCGCTGCAACAATTCCTGCAACAATTCCTTCAGTGATTCCTGATCCATCAATTGATGATCTGTTCATTGATGAGGAAATCCAACCTGAGTGTCCATTATTTCTCATACCTACTAATAATTGGTGGATAGACTATGATATCTTCACGAGAATACCTACCCTTTTAGTGCAGAATACACTGAACTTCCCAAAACCCATAGTTGAATCTGATGATCCTCCGACATCTACAAGGGATATCACTACAGTGGGGGAAGCTTCAGTGAGAGACAGTCTTGAAGACCTACTCATCGATCCTGAGATCACTGCACTTCCGATCCCGAAAAACCTCACACGCGCCAAAGCTTCCATGGAATGGAAATATTATTACAAGGCCTGTGTTAAAGAGGTCAACTGTTTGAAATATACACATTTTCCAGTCATTTTTTGTACCTGTACTTGATTTGAAGGCGAATTTTGTATATAGCATCGTGTATAGTTACTCTGGTGAGTGGGGGTGTCAGGTCACATGATCTGGCTTACTAATCCTTCCACCATATAACTTTTCACAAGCTAGTAACCTTTCAATCATACAAGCTTTACATCTTTCACACTAATCATAATCTTGATGAAATTTTCTGCCATCTGAAGTCATCAAAATGCAGACAATAGAAGAAAAATAATTAGAAAATTACTACTGAGCTGATAAGTTACTCTATCAGATAATAATTTTTAATAATGCTAACTTTCTAATTTGAAGAAAATTATATGAAAATGATTATATATCAGTACTCTGATTTCACAACTCTCATCTGATAACTTTCTGAATAATTACTTCACATGTATATATCTCTGAATCTTTCTCTTCAATTAATTAAAAATCCTGAATTCTGAACACTTCTTCAAATACTTAATTCAAATCTTCATATTTCATATTAATCATGTTTTCAGTTCAATCTTGAGATACACTATAAAGTCAATATACAGTATCTAGAATCAGAGTTGAAGAATTATCAAAGAGTGTCTCTCACAGTTAATGTATAAACTAGTATAAACAATCTTACATTTATGAGAGTTACATGTCATTATATTGATGAGAACTGAACTTATTAAGAGACATTAATTGAATTTGAATCATTGATTAGTAGTCATACTGAGAATTATATAGTAGAGATATTAATAACAGTGATTAAAAATAACTATTAAGATATTAGTCTCAGTCTTCTTACAATTATAATTGATAATACTGCAAATAACTATACTATAATAAAGTGCTTGAAGTAAAAATTAGCTTTGTATTTCTGAAATGATAAACAAGATCATATTCTCTGTATTACTTATATAATTCAACTTGTGATACAAACACTGATAAAGAATCTTAATATCAAGATGAAGAATAATGAGATGACTGATTCTTGAGATCAGAATGAGATGAAAGTAGTTACTTAAGTAACTTTTATATTTACTTTGTAAAAGATAATGTTTTTTAACAACTCTTTTTAATATTACTTTTTAATAATACTTTTTAATAATACTACTGTTAATTTTGAATAGATTGACTAATAATTTAAATATCACAGATTCAAAACATTGCTAATATAATTTGTATCTTCTCTAAATAATAACAATAATTTCATGATATTTAATAAATAAACAAATCAGTTACATCACTGAATATGATACAGAATGTTAGAATATAATGAAGTTTAATATATGAGATAACTGTTCAGACTCTTCAATTGTATCAGATAATTAATCATTGAGTGTAATACTCTGATTATAAAAAGATTCAGATATTGAAACTTTCTGATATAAAGTGAACTCAGTTGAAATATATGATTGATTTACTGTTTCAGTTTTATAAGATAATAAAGACAGTCTTAACCACTTGTACATCAATACTGTAGTCAGTCTGATAAGTGTATAACAGTTGATTTACTCATCTTAAGAAGCAGTTAAATCACTTAAAAAGAAATTCAGTCTGAAATAATACTATAGTGCAGGCTATTATTACTATAAGAGATAAACTAGTATATTATTACAGCAAAACTGAACAATCTTTTACAGAGTACTATGCTGTAGTAGCTCTACTAGATCTCTCTTATCAAGTTAATATCTACACTTCTCAAGATTAAATGGAGAAGAAATGAGACTTATATATTAAATTAGTCTGAGACTACTATAATATCAACTATCAGAGATTTGAATGAGCAGATATTAGAGATGTGAAGACAATGAAATACAATTCTCTAGTAAGTAATAATCTTTGATAATACTTTATATCACATAGAACTATAATACTAACTTTGAAACAGAACTTACATACATTGATTATAACTGAAAATCAGATAAAACTATATACTTGTAAAACTAAATTTAACTGCTATCTTCAAGATAATTCAACAAATTTACATGTTAAATCAATTCTAGAGTTATGAAAAATTATTAAGAGTACATATTCAACTATTACACTGATAATATATGATATTCTGATAATTTCATTGACAGAGGTGAGAATGAAGTGAAAGTTCAACTCAAGCTGAGATATTTATCACTATTACTGAGGACAATTATAAGAAGAAATAATCATGAAACTCATGATTGTAAAACATGAAATTATCAGACAGTTTAATATCTCTGATCACAGTATATCAGAGAAGTGTAGTTTTCATGAGAAAGTGAAGAATAAACTTGTACAAGAATGTATTTATGTGGCGGGCTGCGCCCGATCAATCATATAGACTATTCCATTACACTCCATAGATTCTTCCATTCCCGATCGCCGATTCGCAGCCGCTACGAACGCGCGTAGCATACACTCCGATTCTCAGCCATTCCTGATCACCGATCCTCGGCCGCTACGAACGCGTGTATATTCTTCTGCTCTGAAGCTCCACCACATACACTACCACATACATGTATAAATATTCACCTCAATCACTGATTCTCACACTTTCTCTTTCTTTCCTTCTCTAACATTTTTATCTTTGTTATATAAGACCTATAATATTATACTGATCTATTCAGTGCAGGCCTCTTACACTATAAAAATGTTCATTGTCTTCTTATTAGAAATGATTATTCATCAAGAGATATCTGAACGCGTAACAACACATAAGAAATAGAGAAACAGTTGAACAGTTAAGCAGACACTGAGTCCTCAGATAGTCTTCAGATAGAAGCTTGCTCACCAGTCACCCTGGCCTCATAACAAGATCTTATGAAGAGAATAAGATCTTACAAGAGAATGTCAGTGAAAGATCCAAGAGTTCTGACACTCAGATGTATAAAAATACAATTATACTTCTTCAGATCTCACAGATATCATACATTCAACAATTGATATAACCATGTCTAACAATAATATGAAACCCTTGAACATGAACATAGATGCAGTGTCACAGTGGCTCTGAGCAATGTTGAAACTATAACAACAACAAATAGCTGATATGCATGCAACTCAATAACATCAATATGAAGAGATTCAACAATTATCATAACAAGGAACCCACGCAATCTCAACATCTACAGAATTGAATACAAAAGCACTGAAAGAACACTTAGATGCCCCTGCATATTTTGATGCTTTCAACCTCACTCTCTACTCATCATGGAGAATGGAAATGCTTGTGAAACTGAGTGTAGATGGAGATTTCATCAGTTTATTAACCAATCAAGATTGATATATCAATGAACAATTGAAGAATTGCATGAAACAGAAGTTTCATTCATGAATGAAAGCATGCAAATCAGTGTTGCAAATGCCTGACAATATTATGAAACATCTTGATATTCTGTTCTGAGACACTGCCATGCAACAGAAAGTATTAGATTGGTTACAGAGCATCTGACAGAGAAACACTTCTCTTACAACATTCATCTCTGACTTCAACACCAAGATTCTAGAAGCAGGTGATCAGTCTTGAGAGGATTGAATGAAGATTAGCATGCTCAAGAAGACATTGACTTTCAAACTCTTACAGGCTCTTGTAAGCACAGATGAAGACTCAACTTATAAAGGCTTCTGCACACAGCTCCGGACAATGAATGACTGTCTTATCAAGCTCAAGAATATACAGAACAGTGGCAGAAGACATTACATCTCAGTGACTCATACACCTGCACTGAGGAATAACAATGATACAGATACCATGAATTGAGTAGACTTGAATGTCTACACACAAGCAAGGGTCTCTGCTGTCTGAACAGGCTTCTGAGTCCCTGGGATCACTCCTGAAGAAGTCACTGATCAATGTCAATGTAGAGTGTGCATCAACTGTAACTGATCAGAACACATTGCTTTCAACTGCTGATCGACCTTTGTGCCTTCTTGTTTGAAGAATGGATCAGCGCCTGTCCACGCCAACCACATTGCATTAGAGAAAGATTCAGAGAATAATTATAAGAACATCTCAGTGAAACAGGGAAAAGATTAGCTTCTGTTCAAATTTGCAAACAGAAGCTTGAAGAGATTGAATGACAACAATTTGAAGAGAAGATGACAATGAATGCAATTCTTGTATTCACTGTGATTAATAACATGTATAATATGAAGGCCATGATAGACAGTGGTCTATGTCACTATGCAATGATAAAATCTTCAGTCATAAGATGTCATAACCTTCAGTATATTTCTCTATCAAAACCTCAACTCCTTGCAGAATTTGATGATTCAAAAGACATTTGTACTCATTACATGATGAAGCTGATCATAGATGTAGAAGAACATCAATGTGAAGATGCCTACACATATGAAGTTGATAATCTTGATTATGATCTTATGTTAGAACTTGCCTGGCTATCTGAACAAGGCATCTTGTTAAATGCTTAAAACAGAAGCTTGATATTCCCTAACAATGATAGAGTTCACAAAGATGATATTCACAAGATCATGAATCTGACACAGATCTCTGTCAACATGTATAAATTACTTTAAAAAAGAAGTCATCATCAAAATCACTGACAGAGTCACTGACAGCAAGATCATGTGTCAATCTATTTCATCAGTCTGGCTGATATCAGAAAGGCTCTAGAAAAGTTATCTCATGTTATAATAACAGATTCTCATACAAAACTCCCTCAACAATATCATGAATATTTAGATGTCTTCTGATAAGACAATATTATAAATATACCCCTCTTACAAGGTTCTGAAGTGAATCACAGTATCAAGTTAGAGAAAAAAGATGATAAGAACTCTGAACCACTATGAGGCTCTCTTTATAACATGTTCTGAGATGAACTTCTTCTTCTTCAAAAGACACTCAATGATCTGTTGAATAAAGAATTCATACATGTTAGTAACTCTTTCACTGCAGTCTCTATCCTCTTTACAAAGAAACCAGGTGAAGGACTCTGATTCTGTGTGAACTACTGAGGTCTGAACAGATTGACAAAGAAAGATTGATATCTCTTATCTCTCATCAATGAAACCCTAGCACAGATCAGGCAAGCTCAATGATTTATAAAACTAGATATTGTCATCATGTTTCATAAGATTTGTATCACTGAAGAAGATGAATGACTTACAGCATTCTGAACATGTTATGATCTCTTTGAATGAATAGTCA